AACGTTTTTGTTCCTCATACATCCTTAGCTGTTAAATATTCTGCATTGAGTGTTCCTAATGAAGGTAAATCCAGAAAAGTGCTTTGGACGCATGCAATTTATAACGTGTTGTTTTCAATTTTTTTGCAAGGTCTACATGTCCAACAGACAGGTTTCACCAGACCTTGACATCATTTCATGGATCAGTGATCAAGGTTAAAGTTACATGATTAGGTCTGTTTCTCAATTACTGTCAACTATATTTGGTGTATGGAATGATTTTAAGGTGTACATGTCAGTCTGGCAGGTTTCATTTGACCTTGACCTCATTTTCATAGTTTATTGGTCAATGTTAAGTTTTTGTGTTTTTGTCTGTTTTTCTTATATTATAAGCAATAGCTCAAATATATTTATTGTGTGGAATGATTGTAAGGTGTATATGTCTGTCTGCCTGATTTTATCTGACCTTGACCTCATTTTTATGGGTCATTTGTCAATATTACGTTTTCATGGTTTGGTCTGTTTTTGTATACATTAAGCGATAGGTCAACTATATTTGGTGTGTGAAATGATTGTAAGGTGTACATGTCTGTCTGGCTTGGTAAATCAGATCATGACCTCATTTTTGTGGATCATTGATAATATTAAGTTTATGTGATCCTTGTATTAAAACTTTATCTTTAGGACTATCAAAATAAAAGCAGACAGACATTTCAGTGTGTGCACTCTTGTTCTAGAAAACAAGCATTATACCACAACCCAGTGTTTTATGATTTCTCGTAAGAAACATCTCACCTTAGTCTACAACAGGTCTCAAAATCAAAACCACAAAAAGTCAAAATAATTTGAACTTGTATAAACTTACTTTGATGCAGTTTACTTCCCTAAATGACTATTTTGACTAATGTTTTAGAGAGAGTAAATACACAAAGCAAAATGATCAGTTATAATAGATCCCCAAGAAGTCAAGTGACAGCAATTATCTACTGATTCCTCAATTGGGTAATTGTCTTTTAATAACTTTTCCATTATTTTTTTTAAACATTCTCTGAGTGGACCTGAATTGCTCTAGGCCACAATCTTACTAAGAGAATGAAAGATGGTTGTGAATTATTTTAATATATGTATTGCACATTTTGCCTGGTGAGCTATTCAGGCTCCTTAGAGCCTCTAGTTTCATTTACCAATGGAATAAATGTAACGTTATGGTAAGAACATAGAAGTGATTAAAGGATTTGTTTCTCTTACACTTAATGATGTCTTTCAAATGAGTAGGTTCAAAAAGGGCTAAAGTTGGCCCTAAGATTTTCCTGATTTTTTTAAATTAGGCTGAAAAACTACATATTTCACATATTAATAGTTGTTTTATTACTATTTATACAAAAAAACTTCTTTTTTTTGGCACCTCACATTATAAATTACTAAGTTATGACCCCTAATTATGCATGATTTGTGTTGTAATGTTAGGTTAGGTCCAATTTTTCCATAACTTATGACAGTTTTTAACATAATTAACTTTGGCCGCCATCACCGTTCCAGAATCTTTTTGTGTCTAGTGATTCAATGTTAACCTTTGCTACTTTTGGTTACAGAACATTTTTGATGGAAGGTTGCGGCTGAAATTTTTCCTGAAGGTTGAAGGTCTGACAAATACGCAATTTTGACAAGATCTTAAAAATGTGCTGACTTTGGAGCCTATAATGTACTGTTATGAATAGAGTTGTTTTTTAAAGGAGTAAGGCTTTTGTAGAACAAAATTGTGGACTTTTGATATTTTATGATAAAGTTGAAATTTAAGGCCATATTTTGCCAAAAGTTAACCTTGTCCTTAAACATTTACCATATTGGCTTTCTTAAAGGTATTTCGTATTCAATATTTTGACCTTAGAATTATATGACCTGACTAATATACCATGTATTTTTATGCTGAATCAGGTCATTTTTACATCTATTGAATATAGGATTGAAAGTCTTGGATATATATAAAGCTGTTGACCTGTTGTATAATAAACTAAAACCTGTCATGGCAATGTTTGGGGGTCTGTAAGATGGTTTTAAGTTTGCTTGATTAAATACTGACATAATGTTAAAGAAGTCTGATATCTTCGATAAAATCAATGAGTAGTTAAAAAACCAAATAAATGGATAAATGAAACATTTATGTGCAACCTGTTTAAAACTTTGGGTTGAAGGTATGGTTGGTATTTACATGTGTTACATGCTTTATGTGAATCGAAATTCAACAACTTATTCAATACTTATTTACGTATTTACGAAAATGTCAATTTCCATGGTGGTGTGAAAATGGGACATTTTAAAATATAGATGTACTAAGATAAATTGTTTCCACGTCAAAACAAGTTTTGATAATTTAAGATATTAATCGAAATGACCAAAATGATTAAAATGTTTAAAAAGTTATAAATTTTGTTAAAGTTCATTGATACAATGGATGTGTGGCTTAAAATTTGCTTTCCATATTCACTTAATCTTGTTATTTATACATTTGTGAAAGGATTTGGATAATGCAAAGAACATTTATTTTTCTGCATAAATAAGTAGTAACTAAGTCATTGTGACATAGCTATACAGTTTGTAAGTGACTTTTTCGAGAGAAAAAAAACGTGTTTTGATGGGCCTCTCCAAATGAATATTTTTCTGGATTACTTCAAACTACATGAACAGATTGATGAAGTCAAAATGTTAATGTAAGTGTAACTTTGATATAAGATCATTTTACTTTCAAAACTATTGAAATAAATCAAACAAAATATTTCTATTTGAGGAATTTTAAACATTATCACAAGTACTTACTTTTATGTACTAAACATTATCTATTGGAATAAAAACTGCCGTAGCGGAGGGGGCATTAAGTTTTACCCTTGTTCGTCTGTACTTACGTCCGTCCGTCCGAACGTACGTCCCAAAGTTGGTTTCCATTCTCAAACTAAAGTTTGCCTCAACCAAATGTTACAAAACTTATACACAATGCTTATTACCACAAAATACAGGTCAAGTTTGAATTTGGGTGGTGTCACTTTTAAGGTTCTAGAGTTATGCCCGTTTACAAATGGAAAAATTGCTGAATTTTTCATTTCCGTTCCCTAACTTAAGTTAGCCTAAAAAAAATGTTATGAGACTTATACACAATACTTATTACCACAAAAACTCAGATTAAGTACAAATTTTGGTAGCGTCACTTTTACCGTTCTTCAGTTATGTCCCTTTATTACTTTATATGATATGCAAGCGGGGGCATCATCTGTATCCCATGGACACATTCCCCATTTATTTTTTAACACTTTTAAAAATCATTTCATACTTTTTAATGCAAAGGATATATAGTGATGACTGTGTCTGTCTGTTCCTTCATTCATCCCACTTTTTTATACATGTAACTGCTCCTAAACCAGAACCTTACAAAAATGAATTCCTTTTGCATTTCCTATCTCATTTCTTCATCTGTATGATTTTTAGTGTTTACATTGACATTACATGGACTTGTCATATCTGCACACTACAGTACAAATTTAAACCCACATCTCCTTCTAAATCCCTAATCAGAATTTAATGAAATCTTTTTGAATCTTCATCATGTAATGCCATTGTGCAATGAGCACAGTCTATTTTTCTTTTTTTCATCCAAATAATCATTGGGGTTTCCCTAAATTAATCATGCACTTTGTATTGGACATTTTGTTTCAGACTACATCTGGACTAGTTTGAATACACCTTATCGCTATTCCCGCTTGACCCGAGAATCTGTCCCGCTTGAACTTTTGACGTCATACAACAATCACTTTTCCATTGTGGCGTCAGGAATTTTCTATTATGACGTCAAAATTTTACGGGAACTTTTGTGATGTCCAGTAATGGCGGACAAATAGCAATAAGGTGTATTGTGGAAGTTGGCAATTTTGAAATTTGGATGGATATATTTGCAAAGGACAAGTTACTCCTGATGTTATTTAAATTCAAATAAAGTTATTTTTTTCAAGTTGGAATTTATGAATTATTTGTAAAAGTGTATATGACAGAATAGGAGCATACATGTTTTTGTAATAGTGTATATGACAGAATAGGAGCATACATGTTTTTGTTATAGTGTATATGACTGAGTAGGAGCATACAGAATAGGAGCATACATGTTTTTGTAATAGTGTATATGACAGAGTAGGAGCATACATGTTTTTGTAATAGTGTATATGACAGAATAGGAGCATACATGTTTTTGTAATAGTGTATATGACAAAATAGGAGCATACATGTTTTTGTAAAAGTGTATATGACAGAATAGGAGCATACATGTTTTTGTAATAGTGTATATGACAGAATAGGAGCATACATGTTTTTGTTATAGTGTATATGACTGAGTAGGAGCATACAGAATAGGAGCATACATGTTTTTGTAATAGTGTATATGACAGAGTAGGAGCATACATGTTTTTGTAATAGTGTATATGACAGAATAGGAGCATACATGTTTTTGTAATAGTGTATATGACAAAATAGGAGCATACATGTTATTGTAATAGTGTATATGACAGAGTAGGAGCATACATGTTTTTCTAATAGTGTTTCTGACAGAATAGGAGCATACATGTTTTTGTAATAGTGTATATGACAGAGAAGGAGCATACATGTTTTTGTAATAGTGTATATGACAGAGAAGGAGCATACATGTTTTTGTAATAGTGTATATGACAGAATAGGAGCATACATGTTTTTGTAATAGTGTATATGACAGAGTACAAGCATACATGTTTTTTTGTAATAGTGTATATGACAGAATAGGAGCATACATGTTTTTGTAATAGTGTATATGACAGAGTAGGAGCATACATGTTTTTGTAATAGTGTATATGACAGAGTAGGAGCATACATGTTTTTGTAATAGTGTATATGACAGAGTAGGAGCATACATGTTTTTGTAATAGTGTATATGACAGAGTAGGAGCATACATGTTTTTGTAATAGTGTATATGACAGAGTAGGAGCATACATGTTTTTATTATTTTCAGCAGTTCATTGTCCAGTGATTCAGCAATAGACAGAGGTGATGCAAGCTCAGCAGAATTGGCTGGACGTTTACAGGACCTGGAGAAAGAACTCATGTAAGTTACCTATGAAAGTTTAAACATGTGGTCACACTTGTCACACCTGGTCTTACAAGCTACTGTGTATTCTGAACTTACATGTAAATGTCTTTACAAAAGGTCATCAAGTCTTAATTCATACTACATGTATGACCCTAAATAGAACTGTCTAATTAAGGTTTTTGATTTGTTTATGTTTAGTTTGTAACACAGATTTGTTTTCTCTCAATCGATTTATTAAAAACTACTTATGATAGATCACTGATATTTTGTCTGAAGTTGCATTACTATCAGTACATATCAATTTGACAACTATTTTGAGGCCCTGTCCCCAGGTCATGGTCTAGTTACTTTGAATTAATTAACAATTTTCAATGTTGAGTTTTCTGTTTAAGTTAGTTTGATAGGAAGTACTTGTGATAGATCAATGATATTTTGTCTGAAGTTGCATTGCTATCAGTACATATCAGTTGTGACGACTATTTTGAGGCCCTGCCCCCAGGTCATGGTCCAGTTACTTTGAATTAATTAGCAATTTTCAAATGTTAAGTTTTCTGCTTAAGTTAGTTTGATAGAAACTACATTCAATAGACTATGATATTTTCTATAAAGTTACATTACTGTCTTTACATCTCAATTTGTTAACCATTTCAAGGACTTGCCCAGCGACTTTGAATTAATTAGCAATGTTGTTGTGCATTCGATTGTCTTTTTCTGAATTTTATGCAGACAGACAAGACATATCTCTGTGTTTAAAGTTTATATTGTTCAAGTCCATATTTTATCTTTATGACTCTGTTATATCATTACAAAGGAAATCAATAAGAGCAGTACCTACATATAGGCGCTGATTGACTTGTCACGTTTTCAATTAAGGTCAAGTTACAGTAAGAAAATGGGTCATGTCACAGATTTATATTTTTTTGCATACAACTGCAGTACATTAAACTTAAATTAAATTTTTTTTAAAATAATGCATTGATCTTTTATTTTCTGAAATATGATAGAGTGAATTGTTTCAAATTAGATGAACATTTGTATAAAAAGCATGCAAAATCATGCAAAATTTTAACAAAATTAATGACATAACGTCCAACTCTGCAATCAAGAATATCTTTGTATACTTATACCATTTAAACTGGAAATGTGTATAACAGTAAGAATATAGTTGATTTAGGAAGAGAGAAATGCACAAGACTCCATCTACATTTATATGGATTTTATGTAGAGCACTTCTTTAAAGTTTGGAAACTTCCCTTAACAATTTTTTTAGTGGAGAAACTTCAAAATTAATCTCTGAAATATGAATGTTATATGACTGCCATGTTTTTTTCACCTGTCTGACTAAAATGTTGTCTTTCAAATAACTTTATCAGGCTTTCTGAATCATTTATATTGTTATATGTCCTTAATATGGAACTTTTAAATTAGTAGTAGTCTCTTGGCTTCCTTAGGGGTCTTGGTGGCAGAGTGGTCTAAGTAGTCGAACTACTGTATCACTAGTCTGTCAACACCGAAGTTGTGAGATCTAATCCCGCATGTGGCAGGTGCGCTAGACTCCAATCTTGATTGACTAGGATTGTCAGTTTTCCTACTGAAGGTCGGTGGATTCCTCCACCAATAAAAACTGACTGCATAATAGTGTTGAAAGTGGAGTTAATCACCAATCAATCAAATCAAATCAAATTGGCTACTTGCAGTGTATTTGCTTATGACTTCAAAACCACAAATGCTGATTATTTCTGAAAACAAAAGATATAAGAAAAACAGTTTAGACCAAAGGTGTTCTTGGACAACTGCTGCTTTATTTAACCCTTTGACTTTTGATGGGGTAACAGCTTGGTCTATAGGGCAAGGAAACAGTTGTTGTCCTTGTCCCCTGTTGATTAATGTATACTGACTCCTGATTCAATTACAGTGTACGTTTTATTGTTTAACTGGGAAAAATTTACATTGATTTCATGGTTCTCTCCAGCCACAAAATTTAGTACCCTACAAAATACATATTTTCGATTGATTCTGAACTTGTAAATCTTTAAACCATGAATTTGATAACCCGGGAACCAATAATACTTTGACTAACCATGAAAATTTATACCCACAAAGAATAGTACTTCAGTTTATGTAGAACAGTCTTAACAATAAACTTTTGCCGCTAAGAGCTTGACACTCATGTTTTTATATTTTTAATTTTGTATAGAATCTATTGGCCCTGTAGTAGAAATTGTTGCAGGCCATATAGACATTTTACAAATATGGGATTGAGGTCCTGAGTCGTCAACATGTCAGACAATAACTTAAAAACTCTTTAACCAACTGAATTTGTATGAAATTTTGGTGAATTGTTTATATCTATTGACGTGAGCTCCCTTTCGATTTTTATAAATTTTAGATTTTAGGTTGCCGAGTTATGGGGTTTTAATCATTAAAAAAGGGGGATTTTCTAGTTTTTGGACAATAACTCAAAAATGCTTTTAGCAGTTTTCATGAAACTTCGGTAAATTGTTTATATATATTGACATAAGGTCCCTTTCCATTTTTATAAATTTTAGATTTTACTTTTCCGAGTTATGGGATTTTCTTCATATAAGAGGGGGAATTTTCCAGTTTTCCGACAATAACTCAAAAGTGCTATGAGCAGTTTTCATGAAACTTTGGTGACTGGTTTATATCTATTAAAATAACCTCCCTTTAGTTTTTTTTATAAAGGAGTAGGTCCGGTAAGGGCCGATTTTGGCCTCAAAATTCAAGTTCATCTGATGAAAGATTTTGGACACTTTTTAAACACTTAAGTGTCTACTTCAGTCGATTCAATCAGTTTATGTGAAAGATTTGAACTAATTTAGTCATTAAAGACGCTCAAATTCCAGCTTAAATATGGAAAATCTATCAAATATGCCATAATATGTCACTTTTCAGATGGTTTTTGTCAAAAATGAAAGTGGCCGCATCCGTGTTCATTCTCAACCTTTATATATGTTATGTATTATTATCAAATACAACTTACATTTAAATATTAAGAATGAACACAAATGCCGCCACTTCCATTTCAGACGAAAACCGTCTAAAAATTAACCAAAATGCTAAAATTTCGAAGATTTCAGTAATTTAGCATGACTTAATGATGCTAGTACCCTATACATGTGCATTGTATTGTCAAAAACAGCCCATATTTATGTAACAGAATTATTCTTCTTTCCAATAAATAGCTAAAAATTTACATTTTAACAATTTTGTAAAACTGCTATATTTTGGGGCCAAAAAGGGGTCTTACTGGGCCTACTCCTTTCTGATATGACATTGAGGAGTTATGGAACTTTATTCTTTGAAAAGTGGCGGGAGTATCATGCGCTCATGGCGCAGCTCTTTATTTATAGAAGGAAAAGGACAACCTTTACTGTGATTTTATTTTAGAACAACGCAAGATAAGTGAAAATAACCACCAAATGAAAAATTTCCACGTTTACAATACTGTGAATTCATTTATTTTCGTGGGTCCCAATTTTCGTGGATTGAGGAAAACTTTCATATTCGTGGATATTTGAATTCGTGGTTTTGGAGAAGTCTGCATGCATTCCTTTAGAAAACTTGTATTTAGTTGAACATTTAAATTCGTGGTTCCACTGTTCCCACGAAATCCACGAAAATTAGTATTGGACGAATATTAATGAATCCACAGTATACAGTTTCTGTTTCAGACACTTTCATTTTTGTGTCGGGCCAGCTTGTCTTTAAAGTGCATTAAATTATGATCTAATATTTGTGATTCATTCTATCCTTTTGGCCTCCCATTGAATATGCTGTAGTTTTATAAAAATAGGTGCCTGAAGTGAAGTATCAAAAACATGACATTGGCCTTCAAAAAATTAGTCAGTATTCTATGGTAAACCATTTTATTGATTTTTGTAACCATGTTATATTTATTACATGAAGTTATGTGTAACATTTGGGGATGTATATAATGAAAACATAAGAATTCCAGATTATTTCATAAAAATGTTGGCTACATTTGTTGATTCGATAAGGTAGGAAAACTATTTTCAAATAAAAAATGATGAAAGTTCTTTTATATAATTTAATTAATGTTTTTTGATAACCATAGAGCACCATATGGTTCTGTTCATATAAGGTTTATAAACAGGAAAAGGAAGACAAATTAGACAGACTATATTAGTGGGAATCTATCTGTATAATCATAATTTGCAGAAAGTTATGAAATGAGAAAAGTTAAAAAAAAAAAAGATATCACATCTAATCCATTAGATGAGCATCTTTCATACAAATTAGTAACTTTCAATAAAACTAAATACTAGTTCAATATACCATACTGTGTATTAAACATGTCAGTGCTTATCCTAAACTCAGGATTATTTAATTAGCGGAAAATTGGATATTGAATAATCTTAAAACAATTGTGTAAGTACTGTGAATTCGTATTTTATCTTTGTGGATTTGATAGCACCAAAAATAAGAGCTATGGGGTAAAGGCCAATACAGCAATGCAATATAAGAGTAGAATCTCAGGAGAGAAATAAGATAAGCTAATAGTCTTCAACAATAGACAAGTAGTACCAGTCCATAAAAGTTTCATGCAAAATGTGATTTATTGATGGAAAGCCTACCAATAATTTTTTTTTATATCTCATTTAGGATATAAAATTTGGTTAAAATTTATTTACAATTTTTGATATGGAGCCTTACCAGGTTAGATATACATTCTATAGAATGCACTATAAAACTCATGTTAAGGGAGATAACTATAGATAGAATCCATTGTAAAATGTATGCCAATTATCTGTACTGGTAAGGCAGTAAATGTAAATTTTTCATAACATTGGGAGGTAAATATTAAAATTACTTACTTTAAATTCAGAAATTATTGCGAGGTTTTTATTATTGCAAATAATGCGACTGGGTGAGAATTGCAATAATTACAACTCGCATTCTTATATCTGACAGATTATTATTATGCAGCTCCTAAAATTATGCAAGCTTCCATATCATTTGATAGGCATGAGGAAAATATTTTATTTTTATGAACTGTATATTCCAATACTTATAATGGTTTTTTTTTTATATTTATAAACGTTTAAAATGACTCATAGTTCGAAAGGGCCAGGGATTTGATATATGTAATTACAACTGCTTATTGATACACTTGTCTCTATATAAACAATTTGGTATTAGTATATTATAATCATTAATGATATGTTTTTTATCGCTATTTTGTGATAATTTACATGCTACTCACTTGAGATAGAAAATTATTGCTAGTATCTAAAGGCCCTTGGCAACAGCGTATTTTTTCTCGGTCAAAATCTCACGGCTGTTGCCCTTTGATGTAGCTAAGAAACACCCTCTCGTTTAAAAAAACCATTGATAATCTATGATTCTTAAGAGTTTCAGCAGATTGTTATCTCATATATGTCCACTCCAATATTCTTGTTTCTAATTCACAAACCTAAACAATTATTCTTCATTTAATGGCCATGTAATTGGATTATGATCTGCCAGTCAAGTTCATCAGGTCTGTAACAATGAAAATAAATTGAAGTATACATGATTATCAACTGTAATTTTTTTTTATTTTCAAAATTTAATATTACTAAAACTATGAAATCTTCTATTTTTTAACCAAAATTTTAACTGTAATGGGTATAGTGAACCAACGACCTGAAGTAGTTGACGTGTGATATCGGCAAAATCTTAACTGGTCAGAGGTATAAAAGGCATTGTAAATATGGTGAACTTCTGATTTAGAAATTCATTTAAAATTTAGATCAACAAAATGTGAGCTTGCCAAGGTTATGAACAGACAATCCAGTTACCAAGAGTTACTGGTTCAGAGAGAAGATGCTATTAGATTCTTAGAGGGAAGATTAGATACTTCGTCAGTCAGTGAACTTGCAAAGACAGGGTCTGGGTAAGATATTATTTGTTAGAACAGATATTGATTTTTTTTTATGAATAATTAATAAATTTTGATAATTTCTTTCATGAGAAATCCTAAAGTATTGAAGTTTCAGTAAGATTATTCTTTAAGATAGAGCAACCATTGTGTACAACATGTGCTGTTTTTTTTTTCATTGACTAGATTTATGAGGGTCATAAAGGGGAAGGGATATGTGCATGGATGAAATGGCCATTTCACAATGAAAATAAAAAATCAAAAATAGCTTGCATGTTGCTTTTTCACCAATTTGCAAGAAACATGGTGCTACAAGCACTCTAATAACCCTTTTCCACCCTCTTTTATTTATCCAATATTTTTCATTTACAGCAAGTCATCATCGAAGAACGACAAAGATTTACAAGAAAGATTGAGAGTGCTGCAGAATCAGAATAAATTCCTAAATGAAGAAGTGAAAAAATTGGCAAAATTACGAGAGACAGATCGTAACAGTTTTTATCAACAAGAGGAGTAAGTATGTGTAAGAGAGATGAGTTTGAACTTTCCTTAATTAGAAAAGATTGCCAGCGGAATGAATGAGATAAAATTAGCTCAAGTTACATACAGTAAAGTACCTTATTTTGCAGTTACTATATTTCTCATTTACCCCTTTTCTAGTTGACTTCATTGCAATTTACTTTCGTAATTTAAAAAAAAAATTAAAGTATTTTTATGAGGGAAGATCCAAGTTTTACATAGTTATCACTCCCAAAAATCAGTTGGTTTGCAGTAAATTATTCCCAAATAACATGAAATTCAAAAGAATTGTGATGAAGTTCCATTACCTTGTGAGAAAAATTAACCAAGATTACCAATAATGATTGAAATGGCCATATGGTCCGGGTACACAGTTATCGTCCTTTGATTTTCGTTGTCCACGAATATAGTCCCTAGTGTGGACAGTGTGTTACTTGTTGATTTTTTTTATACCCCTTCCAAATTTATTTCTCCATGTTTTATGACTCAAATAGTAAGTAGGGGGGTGAAATGACACTGTAAAAAAATTTGGGTCATGAATTTTAAAGTTAAGTAGTGATTTGGTCTAGCTGAAAAATGTTAAAAATTAGCACTTCGGAAGCTGTCAAAAGATTTGAAGACCCCCTTAACATGAAATTGTCCATACTTTGAGTTAGAGCCGAGCCGATGAAGTTTTCTATAATTTTGATATAATTTGTCCCAAAAGTAGTACAACACACTGTAAAAATATGGTCAAAATAAGCATTTCATAGCTTTTTCAATTTTGATGCATAAGTGGCATTCTGACTTTCTATCTGACAGGTTTTTATGTGTCAATATTTGTGTTTCTATGCTTCAATCCAGTTGTATTACTCATTTGTGAACTCTGAATCTACAGAAAAGAAGATTATCTCAGACAATATGTGCAAAATGTGTTGTATATATGATCCTCGTCTAACGCCCTGTTTGGATCAAGTTAAATGTGAGGAGCTTGTAACATAAAAGTTGAAGTCCATTATAAAGACCTCACTAAATTTGTATAAAAAGCACTTAACAATGTCTTTTGTACCTGTTTTATGTCACATAATATCTTTCTTTTCTTCTGTAGGATAGCAAGTGGTTCAAATATAAGCCTGTTGAGACTAAAATTGCATGCATGTTTTTCACTAAAAAGTGAAAAATCTTTGTATCAGACCATACTGTCTGCAAAAAAAGTTGAATGCAAGAGTCTTTTTGTGCTCAGATTTATTGTATCATGTCACCTGAGTATAGAAATGATAGAAAAGACACAAAATTTTATTTCCTATAGCTTCAATATGCATTTTTAAATGTAAATATGTGATACGGCCTAAATTGACCCTAAATTATTTTCAGTCTTACTTGGCCTAAGACCCTTTTAAACTAATGTGATATGTTATTTGTAAGTTTTCTTTCCATTTAAAGTACATTAAATACATATGTAAGGATTATTTATAACCAAAAAGCTTTACAAATTTAAAATTGCTGGAAAATATTACATCTTTATGTAAGGCCCTCCTTCATTGGAAAACCTCCATTTTTAGCCACAGGCTCATATACATTTGACTTTTTAATAATCATGATAAGTCTGATAAATCAAATGAGTACTCTATTGCTTTTAATACATAATATATTATATATTAAGGCATTTCAAAAGTATTTTTTTGCAATATTTTAATTTTTTAAGCCCCAAATGTTGATAGTTGAAAATTTTCAATTTTAACGTCTAAATTTAACACGCAAAGTTGAATATAGAATTAGTCATATTGTCTATAATATACATCCTATTGCCATGAATCTTTGTAAGCAGTCTTGTAATTTAATAAGCTTTGGTCATACCAAGTTTCATTAAGATTGGTCAACTTTTTCTACCCTATTAGGTCCGGGTACACAGTTATCGTCCTTTGATTTTCGTTGTCCACGAATATAGTCCCTAGTGTGGACAGTGTGTTACTTGTTGATTTTTTTTATACCCCTTCCAAATTTATTTCTCCATGTTTTATGACTCAAATAGTAAGTAGGGGGGTGAAATGACACTGTAAAAAAATTTGGGTCATGAATTTTAAAGTTAAGTAGTGATTTGGTCTAGCTGAAAAATGTTAAAAATTAGCACTTCGGAAGCTGTCAAAAGATTTGAAGACCCCCTTAACATGAAATTGTCCATACTTTGAGTTAGAGCCGATGAAGTTTTCTATAATTTTGATATAATTTGTCCCAAAAGTAGTACAACACACTGTAAAAATATTATTGAGAAAGCGCAGGTGAGATTTTTTTAATTTTCATTTATTGCCTAAAAGAAATGCACTACGAAATAACTGTGTACTCGGACCATATGTCAAATACAGAGTTAAGAACATAATATTGCTGTTTGTTATTATTCAGGTTGCTCGTAAATAGGTTTTAGAGAAGCTTAACTTGGCACACTATGACATTTTCATGCAATGTTATTTTCACTATTTGCTGCTCAGACCTGTACTCACACTGTGTAGTTTTTTTCATACTATGTCATTTATTTATTCATTCTGTGTCATTTATTTATTCACACTGTGTCATTTTATTCATACTGTGTCATTTATTTATTCACACTGTGTCATTTTATTCATACTGTGTCATTTTATTCACACAGTGTTATTTTATGTTTTTCGTTTGTTAAAAAAAAAACTTTAAATGTTTTTGGTTAGCAACAAAATTAGATATCACAATGAAAAAATAAAAAATTAAATGCCCCTGTTACAAAAATTTTTCAAATATTAATATTTTGACATTAAATACAATGGTGAAGTAGATGTTTGCGTGATGACAATGATTTTAATTCGTCTTTAATTTTTTACAGAAAAATAAGAACATTAGAGGCAGAAATAGAAAAATGGAAACTGGATTATGTCCTACTTATACAGTCAAGTATTAGGTTCCCTACAGGTGATAGCGTGGAGGATGCAGAACTCATTCTGTTTGGAGGAGATAGGGTATATAAATTAAGGCAACAACAGTTTAGCCGTATTTGGCACAACTTTTGGCATTTTCAGTTTTCAATGCTCTTTTAACTTGGTATTTTATTTGACAATTCATCTGTTCTGATTTAAGGGCCACTGGTGAGTCTTATGTAGATGAAAACATGAGTTTGACAAACCAAAGTATAAGCCTGGAATCTTTAATGAGTTATTCTTGATGTTATATCTTGTATAACCTTTTTTGTAACTTTACAATACCTATAACTGTAAAATAAACCTAAGAAGGTTGCATATTAAGTTATTCTGAATATCTTATAACCAAATTACTGCTACAATAAATGTACTTGAGCTATGAAATGATATACACGAAAAAAAAAAGCTAATATCCTGCATTTTACAAAAGGTGGCCTGATTTAGAACCAATGGTAATTTGTATGTCTCAAAACTTGCCACTGTTTATAAGTAATACAACCTTTTGTGAAACACAGGCCTGCTACTTTATTGCTGTTTATCATCTTGCACACTGAATAAGCATGAGAAATATATAGCAAGATGGTAAGCAACCATCAATCAATTAATCAATTATTTGAAAGTCACTTCAAGGTCAATACAGAATTAAAAAAACATTCTGATTAATAGCTGTGACATTGACTTTTTATATCATATGATGTTTTCTTCTTTAAATGTATTCTATTTATTTTATTTACTAAGATGTCAAGGGCATAATTATAGGTAACTATTGCATCTGAAAAGCACTTGTGACTTGCATATAGGTTTTGATGAAACTGCAAAGTGTCAATGAAATAAAAATTTTCTACACATATTTTTTTTCAGCATAAAATTAGGATTAAAAGGTTGCTTGAAGAAGCAAGAAGGATTAATCCAGGACTGCCAACTTATGAAAGGTACAAAAAGCTTAGGAGAGAAACTTTTTCAAAGTATTCAACCATTTAACAAGGAGGAAAACTACTGTCTAATTCAGTACAGTCGAACCTCGTTGTGTCGAACTCGGTTGTTTCGAAAACTCGGATGAGTTGAAGTAATTTCTCGGTCCCGGTAAAATTCCCGTTTGATCAATGTATAGTTACCTCTGATGAGTCGAACTCGGTTGATTCTAATACTCGGTTAAGTCGAGTAAATTTTATAGTCCCGTCGGTGTAAAATTCATGTAAATTGACCCCGATGACTCGAAGTTCGAAAGTAAGAATTTCCACAAGATCCAGACCTAATGATAAAAATTCAAATCGGATGTATTTCTTATGTAACCTAGTCATTATCCAAGAGATTAAAGCTGAGTAAACATACTTGTTTGTATAACAGTTAAAATGACATGTTTATGGTGACTGGTAATTAACACCTTTGGTTGATCGTTCAAGCGGAATGTTAGTGTGTTGAACATTTTTCACATCAGATAAAAACAAAAAGAATTTAAATGACCCAAGCCGAGATTAAATGAATCGTTAGATTTAAAACTCATTAATTACAATAAATAAAAGGATTAGGACAATTATGATAAATTCATGATAATTTAATGTAAAGCAGACGACCTCTGGCTCATCTGAGACCGTTCATAACTTAATTCGTTCCACGAGTGATTTCATAATTTATAGTGACTGACCTTTGTAAATATTTTTGTAGACTATTGTTTTTATTTGTGCATGATTTGTATCTGTACTTGTGTGTTTAGTTATTATGAAGGACCAAAAATGGAGAATGAATACACAATTATAAAGTGTCACATCGAAAAAAAAAGGCACACTGTTCATTGTATCTAGCTATATATATATAGTTTACACAAATCATACCGTATTTCATGCTTTCCAAATTTATGACGACACACTCGACCTCGGATGAGACGAACTTCGGATGTGTCGAATACTTTGGTCCGGTCCCTTCGACTTCGACACAAGGAGGTTCGACTGTATTAATGTTATTTAATCCATCCAGACCTAGAAAAAAATGGGGTTTTCCCAAAAAATGAAAATATAATTTAGATTTTGCCTTTTTTAACTTTTATAATTTGCATTTATGTACAATTTTCAATTGTCTTGCATCGACAGAGTCAAAAAGCGAGACATAGGTATGCTGTTTCCGGGGGCGCGGTCAACAATGTATTAGTTTCTGATTAGGTCAGTTTATGGTGAACCACTAGTGGTAGGTCAATGATATTTGGTATGCAGTTGTATAAGCATTGGCACATCTCATTTCCATGGAGATTATTTGGCCCCGCCCCCTCAGTCATGGTCTGTTGACATTAAATCTTTTGCTTTGTTTACATGTATAAGTTTGTTATTAGGTCAGTTTATGGGGAACCACTAGTGTTAGGTCAATGGTATTTAGTATGCAGTTGTGTAAGCATTAGCACATCTCATATCTATGCAGATTGTTAAGCCCCACCCCTTCAGTCATGGTCTATTGACTTTGAATGTTGTGCATAGTTTTACATATTAAAGTTTGTGATTAGATCAGTTTAAGATGAACCTATAATGTAAAATCAGTGATATATGGTATGCAAGTCTCATTTCCATGGAGATTATAAGGTCCCATCCCTCATCATGGTTCATTGAATTTGAAACTTTTACATAGTTTACAAGTTAATGTTTTGTGTAGGTTTGTTTAAAGGGAACGACGTATGATAAGTCAATGGTATTTGGTATGCAGTTGTATTACCATTGGGACATCTCATTTCTATGGAGATTGTTTGGTCTTGTACCTTCAGTCATGGTTCATTGACTTTGAATATTTTGCACAACACAACATTTACATTATCAAAATAACAAAAGGCGAGACATATCTCTGTGTTAACAGTTTATTGATTATTTAAATAGTTTTTGATTAGCCCTGGTATATAAAAGGCTGAAATACATTTAAAAAAATTAAAACAACACGTTATTAATTTAAAGGGTGTCATTCTGTACGACCATTCATTTGTTTAAGGTAGTTACATCTGAAGCAGACGTGATACCATAATGTATCTAATAATGGTTAATTCTAATATGACTCACTTTAAATGCTTTGAGTCCACATTTCTGTTAAAAAACAAATATATTGTGTGTAAGCTGATCGGCAACGTCATGATTTGTTAGGGCTGTTCCAATCATACTCCCACGTTGTAAGCTTTTTATGAAGGATTTATATGAGGTAATTCGATGTAAATTACATCATTGAACAATCAACTCTAAATGTGACGTAATATAAGTATTGTACTGGAATATACACATATGGGAAAGTCATCAAAACATGGAAGTGATACACATTCCAACCTCCTTCATTGGACAATCCCATTTTGATGTAACATCTTTTCTGACAGAATCACACAATAATTACATTTTCATAATCTTTTAACTTCATCCTAAGCTGTCTAAGTCTGTGATTATAAATCATTTAAGGGCATACGATACAGTAGAGATCCCTCGTTGATTTTTTCTTGAAATTTTGGTAGAAGGTCAATTTCGATGTGTACTTTTGAAATATGCAAAGAAAAATATACCTTCATGACTTACTTTTTGAGATAATTTGGTTCGAAATTTGCATATTTGAAGGAAAAACCCTGAAATTTCAAAAATCAGGACTTTTAAGGAAAGTACCAATACTTTTGAACGAACAGTCATAATTTAACCGGGTTTTTTGTAAAATGTTCCCTTGATCCATGGCATCAGCATGCTGTAACAAGTAAACGGTTGAAATAAATAATTATATCCTAAATTCTTTTAATACAAGTGAAATAAAGAAGATGAAAATATTTTTGCGTCTACACAGAAGTGCAGAAAAAATTCTATCGTTGATTTTTTCTTAAAATTTTGGCGGAGCGTTCTTGAAACAGAACTTGATTGATTGCAAAAGAAAAAACTGGGGGTCCATGTGCTTGTTTTTTCAATAAAAGCAATAAACCTTAATTTTTACACAAATCATACCGTATTTTGCCAATAAGGCGCCAAACTACGTTGGAATAAGTTTTATTCGCAACAACGTCGTGAAATCTTTCCCGCCGTTCACTACTACGTTGTCAATTTCAGTGGTAGAGCCAAGGTGTTTTTTTTTAAACCAATGATATTAATCATGAAAATTAATAAAGCTGGCTCCTCGTAAATAGCATCATATTTGCCAAACCTTTATGAATTGTTACGAAACATGGATAGAAAAAGTATTCTAGTAAATTACTTTTAGAAAAGACATGTTCGGAAACAAAACAGATATATATAATAAAAAAATTAATTTGCATCTCTGCATGTCCGACTTTAGTCATACAATTCATGTAGACAACACAGCTTGAACATAGTTTTAATTGTTCAAAAGGCCCCGACATTACAAAATGTGCAACAATTATAAAGTAAGGGGGATGATATAAAAATAAGGACATTTGGTATGATTGCAAAAGAGACAACTATCAACCATAGTTCAAATGACGAAGATAAACGCTATTAAAGGTCACCCTACGGCCTTCAACACAAAAAAAAAAAGAAAAAAAAGCCACACCGTATAGTCAGCTTTAAAAAGCCCCGACATGAAAATGTGAAATAATTCAAACAAGAAAACTAACGACCAATCTATAGGCATTACATGAACACAAAATCATACCCACATTAAATCGGGTCAGCTTAGTCCATTACAGTGTAGTACTAGTATAACATTTCATACAGCAGTCGATATAAGAGCATGAAATTTAATGATTCTGTATCAATAGATAAGTTACCTAAGCTTGTCTTCAGGGTATTTTTTTTTATTACGGTACATATAATCATTGAATTACTTGTGTGTATTATACCTTCAATCTAGGAGTGAGTGCAACCACATTGTTTGTCCGGTCCAACAAATATTTTGTTTCTTATCTGAGAAACTTCTTTACAAAAAGACTTCGTATTGTTCAGTAACTTAACATCAATGAGTTGCAACTCTGGTCTGTCAAATACCTAACTCCTGTGTGCCGACTTTTCTCTCTCAATATGTACATAGAGGATATGCTTAGCACATCAACGGGTGCGTTTTTGTTTTTGGGCTATAATACGGGGCTTATAACTGTGTCATTTTAACTGACAGTTCTTCTTCATACACATATATATTCCACGGGTTAAATTCTAAAAATGTCGTTAAACTCTTTATTGTACCTTTTCAAAGTCAGGAACAGTAAGATGCGTTGTCATTATTTATTACGTTTTTTTGTGAGCCAAATGGTGAAGTTACTATATAAATTACTTATTGTTTTGGGTTTTTTTTTGTGTAGTTGGGTTTTTCTCTCATCGACGTCTTATGTTTTTCTTATTTCTTATTCATTTCCTATATGAAATAACAGACATACAAAGTTTAGAATGTGGATTTGATTTTTTTCCCATTCGAAGTTAATATTGTTGACTTCCTTATTAATGAATAAATATAACAATTCTCGTGATTTGGCCGATTTTCATTGCAGGTACTTTTTTCAATTTCGCGCAATCGGGATTATGACGTCAGTGGATTTTCCGCATATGTGACTACATCTAAAGCGACGTCGCGAAATGTAATCGTTCTTATTAGAAACATCGCGAAATTACAACGTTCTGATTAACAACGTCGCGAAAACAACACGAAAAGTTTTGAAAACGTTATTATCTGCCCCTGCTACTGTATCGTATGCCCTTAAGCATGTCACTGATTCAGTTTTCTATGTCTTTTACCTCAATATCAAAAGTGTGTACGGGAACAGCAAACATTTGACTTGACCAGTAGAGCGTATCAATCCAAAAGAATTACTGTCTTTGTACTGTTAGAATAGAAATAATTCATAGGGCTTGAATTATTTCTTAACTTTTGTTTTTGTTTCAGTTTTAAATTAGTTAGATGTCATATAATGTGATTTTACACTATAACTTCATCACAGAATTCAGCTCAAGTATCAAATTTCCCATCACTGAGAAATGTATTATTAGAGATGGTCGAATGATCATGATTCTTATTCTAATGTAATGTTAGTGGCGGTGCGCAGAGTCATTACTGACACAATAATACTTGTTATATGCATCCTAATATGTGATTTTGTAATTATTTTTTTTTCCAGTTTGAGTAATCAGGAAGTTCATGTAGATAGTTATGGATTCCGACATAAGTTTGAGGACCAGAGCCTACTACTGCATTACCTGTGCCAGGAACTGGCCCAGCATTATCTGTCGCAGGCTGGAACATATGAGGAACATCAGAAACGATGGACTCATTTCATGAGACAACATGGCAAATCTATTGCTAGTCATGTAAGAAATATATGGTCAAATCTATTGCTAGCCATGTAAGAAGTATATTGTCAAATCTATTGCTAGTCATGTAAAAAATATGTGGTCAAATCTATTGCTTGTCATGTAAGAAATATATGGTCAAACCTATAGCTAGTCATGTAAAAAATATATGGTCAAATCTATTGCTAGTCATGTAAGAAATATATGGTCAAATCTATAGCTAGTCATGTAAAAAATATGTGGTCAAATCTATAGCTAGTCATGTAAGAAATATATGGTCAAATCTATAGCTAGTCATGTAAGAAATGTATGGTCAAATCTATAGCTAGTCATGTAAGAAATATATGGTCAAATCTATAGCAAGTCATGTAAGAAATGTATGGTCAAATCTATTGCTAGTCATGTAAAAAATATATTGTCATGTTTATCAAACACCAAAGAAAAAACAATACTTATTGCCAACCCAATGAAAGTTTTCCACAGTGCCATCTCTATCTAGTCAAGGTATTTAAACTTTTGTAAGTTCACCTGTCCTATTGAATAAATACAATAGCTATTGTTCTCTGTGTAGTTTATTCACTGGGACCTTTAAATTTCACAGAATAAGCTACACAGAGAACAATAGCTATTGTATTTATTCAACAGGACAGGTGAACTTATAAATGTTTAAATACCTTGACCAGATAGAGATGGCACTGTGGAAAACTTTCATTGGGTTTGCAATAATACTGTTGATTCCTTTATTTTAGTGAGTACCAACTTTCAGTGATTGAAGAAAAACTCATTGATATTTGATTTCATGGTTTGGCAAAAGTTTGTATACATTTCTATTGAACGTTTGTTATTTGTTGAACATTTAAATTGGTGGTTCCTCTGTACACATGAAATCCACGAAAGTTGGTACAAAACACAAAATAATAAATCTACTGTACTGTATCTAGATAAATGCAAAATTTCAAGTATTTTTAGCCAATTGAGTACGTCCTTCCTTAGAATTTCAGTGAATTATTTTACTTTTGTATCAAGATAATGGTAGTATGGTTTTCAACATGTGCCAAATATATATATATATATATGAAATTTAATAAGTTATGAATCAGTTAAAATTGAACAGTATGATGTCTATATAATCACAAATCGATCAGAAGTAAAACATTTGGTAACAGTACATTTGTACCAGAACTGACAAGTCTATTTCTAATTCATAATTCAGCCTGTGAAATACATGTATAAATGTTATTTTACAGTATATATTTATGGGGTCTTTTGGTTTTTATTATACCCCCACTCCATTCGTCTATTTGTTTAACATATATTTTTGCCACACTATTCTTGGAAAGTACCAAACAGAATGACTTCATATGTGGTCAGCAGCTTGACAGTGATGAGTTGTAATGTATGAGGACTTTTTAAATCTATCAGATGACAACTTCCTGTTTGCTGTTATCTTTGAAGTTTTCAATATGTTCAATGAATTTAAAAATATTTTGTCACATGTTTCTCAAACAAAGTAACTTCATATTTGGTCAGCATCTCATCAGTGATAAGTTGAAATGTGTGTGCGCTATATTAAAGATCTGTCAAACACCTACTTTCTGTTTTCTGATACATTGACTTGCATGTTTGGGTAAACTTATCAAGACAATGTGTGGGGCCTCGGATGGCCTAGTGGTCTAAGTAGTTACTACTGTAATCACTAGCCAGTCAATACTGAGGTTGTGAGTTCGAACCCCGCTCGTGCAGGTGCACTCGACTCCAATCTTGATTGACTAGGATTGTCAGTTTTCCTATCGAAGGTCGGTGGTTTTCTCCAGGCACTCCGGCTTCCTCCACCAATAAAAACTGGCCGCCACGAAATAGCCCAAAAGCGGTGCTTAAAAGTGGCATTAAAACACCAAAATTCAAATTAAATCAGATCAAGACAATGTGTGCATTCTTGTTGTTATTGGGTTTATCTCATATTGACTTCACATCTCCTTGTAATAATGTAAAGGCTAAATCTATATTTTATGTATTTCTGACTCTTCTAAACTACTTTTGTGGAATGTTACATCATCAGTAATAAGTATTATTTAATAGTCTAACTACATCAGCTTGTATTGATCAGTCAATAACGAAAAGTGAGTCAAAAAGTCATCATCCTATGAAAGATCTTAGTCACTATATAAGATATTTTAATGTTTTTATTTATGAAAGTAGCATTCAGTATGCATTGATCCATTATGCAATGACAAAGAATTACGTTAAGAAGTTATAAACCCATAAAGTCAAGATATGAATGAAACATCAAACACATCTTGTTGGACAATGATAATAGGAAGGGCTCAACAGTTATTTGTGTAATAATTGATAAACATCCAAAACCTCCCATGTAAATATGAATCTAAGTACCTGTGTATTTGATATCATTTAGACATCAACCCAACAACATAGTTATATATTAACCAAAACAGTCGACCAAAGATTACCGTATTAACAAATGGCCACAGTCAATGGAGAAAACAGCTGATTCATGGTATACCGCCATCTTGGATTGTACAATCGCAGTACACAATCGGTCTAGATCTTTGCCCAAATCTGCAAATTTGGAGACAGATAGGCAATTTATAGGTTAGACTGTTCATTTAATGAGAGAAAACTTGGTGATTTATTGCATTATTCAAAATGTTTAAATAAATACCAAATAATTGTGTTTTTAGAATCATTTTTTCAGCTTGGCCATTTAAGGGGAGATAACTCTTTTAGTAAAAATATTATACTGGACTGATAGGGAAATTCAAATTTTTTACTTGTAGCAAGAAAACAAGTTCGGTGACACCATTTTTTCTTTTTATTTTCTTAAAGCATATTATAAAACCTATCTTCTCATATTATATTTCAAAATTCTATCTCATAGATTTCATTTTAAGCACAAAAATGTGTTTTTTCATGAACAATCTAAGCAAATTTGTGCAATTTCATACGACCCGTAGCTTGAAAAATGGCACGGTGACCCATACTTTTTATTATATTTTTGGAAAAAGCATAGAAAAATCTTTATTTTGGCAAAGTATAAAAAAAATCTATCTGAGGAAATATATACCTATGATCTACCTTAAGGATGTTCGCTCCTCTTGTTTTTGAATTTTCTTATAAAATCCTTGTTATTTTTTCATTGTTTTTGAAAGAAAAAGGGTGCCTATTTTAAATTATGAAAAATCTAGAGTGACTTATTTCCTGCCAAATTTTCAATGGATTATATCTTGAAAACAAGCACTTGGACCCTTCATTTTTTTCTGCTTTTTTAGCTTCTTTTATTCATATATAATTAATTTATAACAGTCTTGTAAAAAGCTAGTTATTTTGAAACAGAGTAGCAAACATCCTTAAAGTAAAGTTTCTTTGGTTTATTGACTATTTCCATGTATTTGATGAGATTTTGGGGTCATATGTTTTCTCTGATATCCTGTCTATACTAATGGTTTAGGGCCTCTTAGTTCATCTACAGTGATTATTAGCCTATTAACCCCCAGATTGTGAGTTAGAACTTCACCTCAGGAGTGTTCAACTCTGATATTGTTCCTGACAAAAGTTGCTAGTTTTCTCCTAGTACTCCCCCATTTAAAAATGGCCACCATGATATAGTCAAGGTCGATATAAGTGGTGTTAAACACCAATAAAGAAACAATAGAAAATGGCCGCCATGATATAATCAAGGTCGATATAAGTGGTGTTAAACACCAATAAAGAAACAATAGAAAATGGCTGCCATGATATAGTCAAGGTCGATATAAGTGGTGTTAAACACCAATAAAGAAACAATAGAAAATGGTCGCCATGATATAGTCAAGGTCGATATAAGTGGTGTTAAACACCAATAAAGAAACAAAACAAACATATACAACAATGTTCCAACAATAAGTGGATGTTAGAGTTAAAAGTGAGAAAAGATCTGACATTGTTTGACTTCATCAACATAAGATGCATGTCAAAGGCTCATTTAAATTTTTTGACTTTTGAAACAATAAAAATTTTAAGCCTGGTATCAATGATTAGTTTATTGATATTACTTTAACAAATATTGTGAATTTTTCTGACCCCTTTTTTAGTTGGAAATGGATTTTTTTCTTTTTCAGCCAAAGGAGCTAAAACCATTGTGTAGAGGAGGAATCCCAGACAGGTTTAGAAAACAAGTATGGAGACAGCTTGTTCATTTCAAATGTAAAGATATCATGGAAGAGAAAGGACCACATTACTTCAGGAATTTATGTAGTCACTTGCCTGATTCTCCAGTAAGCTATTACATGAACTTGTGTAGTCACTTGCCTGATTCTCCTTTAAGTTGCCTAAGGTATTTGTGTAGTGACTTGCCTGATTCTCGTGTAAGTTTCCTCAGGAATTTGTGTAGTCACTTACCTTATTCTCCTGTAACTTTCCTCAGGAATTTTTGTAGTGACTTTTCTGATTCTCCTGTATGTTACTTTAGAAATTTATTTAGTCACTTGCCTTATTCTCCTGTAAGTTTCTTCAGGAATTTGTGTAGTCACTAGACTGATTCTCCTGTAAATTTCTTTAGGAATATTGTGTAGTCACTTGCCTGATTCTCCTGTAAGTTTCTTTAGGAATTTGTGTAGTCACTAGACTGATTCTCCTATAAGTTTCTTCAGGAATTTGTGTAGTCACTAGACTGATTCTCCTGTAAGTTTCTTCAGGAATTTGTGTAGTCACTAGACTGATTCTCCTGTAAGTTTCTTCAGGAATTTGTGTAGTCACTAGACTGATTCTCCTGTAAGTTTCTTCAGGAATTTGTGTAGTCACTAGACTGATTCTCCTGTAAGTTTCTTCAGGAATTTGTGTAGTCACTAGACTGATTCTCCTGTAAGTTTCTTCAGGAATTTGTGTAGTCACTAGACTGATTCTCCTGTAAGTTTCTTCAGGAATTTGTGTAGTCACTAGACTGATTCTCCTGTAAGTTTCTTCAGGAATTTGTGTAGTCACTAGACTGATTCTCCTGTAAGTTTCTTCAGGAATTTGTGTAGTCACTAGACTGATTCTCCTGTAAGTTTCTTCAGGAATTTGTGTAGTCACTAGACTGATTCTCCTGTAAGTTTCTTCAGGAATTTGTGTAGTCACTAGACTGATTCTCCTGTAAGTTTCTTCAGGAATTTGTGTAGTCACTAGACTGATTCTCCTGTAAGTTACTTAATGATTGGTTGATTTCATGAATTTAACAGTTTTTGAAATATTCTTATTTATCCTTTTTCAAGGGGATGAATGTAATGGTGTGGTAAATACAGAATTTTCCTGTCATTTTTTGAAAATGTTGTAGTTGCCTAACAGAAATCTTTATTTGGCATGTTTCCAATTTATCAGGAAATGATATATTTTAATAAATTTGAAAACATGTCGATTAGCTAATTCCAAAAGTAAACGTATTTTTAGGTAATTGAATTTTTTAAAAATGTTATTGTATTTTTTGTTGTTGAGAAAATTATGATGTTTTTATTTAATGGGATCCTTGTTGAGCATTCTACCAAGTTATTATGAATGAATCTTGATGACATTATGTCTAACGCCCCACAATTATAAAATGTCTATGCTGGGTTAAAAATAATTGTTTTATGTCTTTGTATAGCCACTTGCTTTATTCTTTTTAACATAAGTTGTCTGATATCCTAATTAATGTCCTTTTCCTGCAATAAATGTATATTTGTAGAATGATTCTAATTCCTAGTACTTAATTTCTGTTTTAGTTAGAATTTCAAAAATTTAGCACAAAGGTTTATACTAGGGCACTTAGTATGAAAGTCATCCTGTTCACCTTTTTGTGAGCTTTGGAAAATTCATGTGACTAGATGTAATAATTGTTATGTTGGTGTAGATGTAATTATGAATAACAATAGAATTCAAGTTAAAATTGAAAGTATACCTTTTTGAGGATAAGAATCTTCAAACTTTATTTGATGTAGGCTTACTTAAGTTGATATGTTTATGGCATAAACAATGAAATTTTCCATTTCCAGTTGGCCTCTCAGTACAGGAAACAGATATCCTTAGATCTGATGAGAACGATGCCAAGTAACATCAAATTTTCATCTCCAGGCTCAAAAGGAGTAAGTATCATGTTTGACCATTCAACTTAAATGAGTCTTGACTATTCCTGGAAAACTTATCAATGTGGAATTCATTTTCTAGTCTTTTGACTTATTCATAAATATGTCAATATAAATTTGTGAGTTCCCACCCCTAAAATCGGTACATTGGGTAACTCAGCCTTAAGTTTGACATCTTTTACTTTAAGGTGGTACCTAACACTACAAGGAGATAACTCTGTAAAAGTCAGCTAGACGTTTTAATCACGTTGTATTGTTAAGGAAATATTAAGCTTCTCAATGATCAAAATTAGTGTTTGTCAAACTGCTATATAACCAATGAAATTTTTCTGATAAAGTTGATGGTTGAAATTTTTTGAAATTTTTATATTTTTGTCAAAGAGTCAAAGTAAACATTTTGTCAAAATTTTATGAAAATTAAACGAGCCAAAATAATATTAGTCAAGGTGTTGGGTACCACCTTAAGCCCCTCCTGGTACCTTCACTGGAGAATATGAGTATCAAGAAAAGACTCAAGGGTACAAAGGAGAAAAAAAAACATATTGAAAATAAGAAGTTTTCATACAGAAAAGGAAAAATGAATGACCATGTTATCTTATTGTATAAGTACTAATCAGTAACTTTAGATTTTTCTTAAATTCAATTCTACAAGCTTATAAATTAAACAGGAACTCTCAAAGATATACCATTAATGTTGAGTTCTCCAGGGAACAAAAGACCTGTAGATACGACATAAAACAACCACTGACAAGGTTCCTGATGTGGGACAGTCACAAGAATATATGGAGGAGTTAAGATAATTTAATGAAATCTCAATCAATTAACTTTTTCCAGCTTTACCTTGATATAAATTTTAAACTAACAAAAAAAAAGTAGTAAGAAAAAAACTGAACTCAAAGGTAAATTCAAAAAGGGTGAAGTCCATAAAAACTGACAAAATCAAATGTTAGATTATATCAACCAAATAGAACGAGTGGAAAACAAGTAAATTGTTGGATAAACCTGGCTTTTTAGCTAGCTTAACCATTTTTAAGCATCAATAAAATGAAATATAAAATGTTGAGGTTTGCATTTTTTGTAGCCAAAAAGTATTGTTTAAGGATAGCGTTGTGGAAATCAGTTGACAGGAATTCTCTTGTGCGACATGTCAATAGACAAGAGATAAAAAAAAATAGCTACAGTCAAACGTGTATATAAAGGTCAACCTTAAGACCAGAGAAAACTGACCTTACAAAAGAGGTAACCATTGAATTAAGGTTCAAAATATAATACAGTAGGAAAAGACGATGGTGACCAGACAAAACAGAAACTCGTTTCACAAAAAAATCTTACAAGATAAAATGCTTGTAAGTCATGAACATTTCAGTATAACTTACAATCAATTTTACTATTAGTCGTAAATAAAATTTTGAAAAAAAACCCCAGGTTTTAGTTCAATAGCGGACCTTTATAGCAGGTTTGACTGTAGTTTTTATTAGACTTTACATTGATAGGAATCTTTGAAGAATTTAAGAATGTTTAATGACATCAGTGATTAGCATGATTTGATTTCAGATAATGGACCTACAAGATGTACTGCTAGCTTACTGCTGCCACAATCCAACCATTGGCTATTGTCAAGGAATGAATTTTATAGTTGGTATGGCATTGTTGTTTATGGATGCACAAGATGCCTTCTGGTGAGTAATTCGTTCATTTATTATAAAAAAAATACAATATACCGTGGAGAAAAATTCTAGTTTCATGCCTAAATGTGTGGTAGTTGAAATGAAATGTTTGATCATGAGTTAGTCGGGACTGCAAATATAACCAAATATGAAAATTGAAATCATATGTACTTAGGCATTCATAGTGTAAGTAGTGAAACTTTGAGGTGAGATTACTTAGGCATTCATAGTGTAAGTAATGAAACTTTTAGGTCAGATTACTTAGGCATTCATAGTGTAAGTAGTGAAACTTTGAGGCGAGATTACTTAGGCATTCATAGTGTAAGTAGTGAAACTTTTAGGTCAGGTTACTTAGGCATTCATAGTGTAAGTAGTGAAACTTTGAGGTGAGATTACTTAGGCATTCATAGTGGAAGTAGTGAAACTTTTAGGTGAGATTACTGAGGCATTCATAGTGTAAGTAGTGAAACTTTTAGGTGAGATTACTTAGGCATTCATAGTGTTAGTACTGAAACTTTTAGGTGAGATTACTTAGGCATTCATAGTGTAAGTAGTGAAACTTTTAGGTGAGATTACTTAGGCATTCATAGTGTAAGTAATGAAACTTTTAGGTGAGATTACTTAGGCATTCATAGTGTAAGAAGTGAAACTTTTAGGTGAGATTACTTAGGCATTCATAGTGTAAGTAGTGAAACTTTTAGGTGAGACTACTTAGGCATTCATAGTGTAAGTAGTGAAACTTTTAGGTGAGATTACTTAGGCATTCATAGTGTAAGTAGTGAAACTTTTAGGTCAGATTACTTAGGCATTCATAGTGTAAGTAGTGAAACTTTGAGGTCAGATTACTTAGGCATTCATAGTGTAAGAAGTGAAACTTTTAGGTCAGATTACTTAGGCATTCATAGTGTAAGTAGTGAAACTTTTAGGTCAGATTACTTAGGCATTCATAGTGTAAGTAATGAAACTTTTAGGTGAGATTACTTAGGCATTCATAGTGTAAGTAGTGAAACTTTTAGGTGAGATTTACTTCTCCTTTCCCAATAGGCATGGAAAAAGTGTTAGTGAATTCAACAAAACAGAACTCTCTTTCGGCAAAAGCTTTTGGTCATTCAGCATACAAATGTGTTCGATTTCTTATTCCCTCAGTAAAGTCAGTTGGAGTTATTTCCCTTTTGGCAGAAATTTTCTAAACTTCTATGGCAAATTTTGACATTTTATTTTTATGTTTTGAAATATTCCTCAAACCATAACTCTGTGGACACTTGCTATGTTTCTTTATTTTGATACTTACCAATTTTAGATTCTTTCAGCTTTGCTTGAAAATGATTAAACTTCCTAAATTGGCATGTAAACAAGACACAGTACTTTAAACTCAAGATATGAAAGATAATTTTCTAACTATGGAATATGATAAGGAGTATACATGTACATCTAAAACTATTGGCATTTGTTTTCAATTGTTGTAGTTGATATTTTAAGTAATGGAAACAAAAATAAGGCCACTTATTATGGTATAACCTCTGCAAGAATGACTTATTTTCAAGTTAATTGCAGAACAATTCTAAATAAACCATACAAAATGATGGCACTTTTAAAATGGAGTAATTATCTATTGAGGCAATTTTTATATGGCTGCAAAAATTTTGCGGTCGTATTTTGGTATCACATCGTCATCGTCGTCGTCCGAAGACACATTGGTTTCCGGACAATAACTTTTGTTTAAGTGTATGGATTTCTATGAAATTTTACCATAAGGTTTATAACCACAAAAGGAAAGTTGGGATTGATTTTGGGGGTTATGGTCTTAACAGTTCAGGAATTAGGGGCCAAAATTGGGCACAAATAAGTATTTTTCTAGTTTCCAGACAATAACTTGTGAAATGGTGTATGGATCTCTCTGAAATTATACCACAAGTTACCATATCCCAAAGGGATGGTAAGAATTTGCTTTGGGGGGTTATGGCTCAAACTGTTTAGGAATTAGGGGCAAAAAAGGGGGAAAAACAAGGGTTTCCAGGTTAATGGACAATTACTTAAGTACAAAACATAATTTTAAAGCAGTGTAAGGGAGGTAATACAAACACATATTGTCAAATTACCTCCCTTACACTACTTGTAAATTATTTATAAAGAAATGTATTGTCTTTAGGTGATTAGCTGTCAATTTATTTTTAGAAGTTACTATTTTAAAAATGTTTAATAAAGGAATTTTATTTTTAGTATTACTACTTAATGTTGCTGATGGAGGCTTTTTGATTTTAGGCATGATTATGATGTCATTTTCTATTTTAAAAATTATTTAATTTTAGCCATGATTATGTATGTGAAGGAATTTTATTTTTAGATATTACTATTTAATGTTGCAGATGAAAGTGTTTCAATTTTAGGCATGATGATGATGTCATTTTCTATTTTACTACTTTTATGATGTATTTAAATTGGTTTTTATGGTTGCAAAGTCCTAGCTGTCAATTTATTTTTTGAGGTTACTTTTAAATGCTGATGAAGGAATTTTATTTTTAGATATTACTATTAAAAGTTGCTGATGAAGGTTTTTTAATTTTAGCCATGACTATGATGTCATTTTCTATTGTAATACTTTTATGATGTATTTAAATGGGCTTTCATGGTTAAAAAAAAACATTTTTCTAGTTTCCAGACAGTAACTTGTGATTAAGTGTATGGATCTCTCTAAAATTGTACTACAAGGTTCCATACTACAAAGGAAAGACTGCAATTGAGTTTGATGGTTAATGCTAAAAGGGGGATTCAAAAAGTTTAGGGGGAAGGCGGGGTTTCCAATTTTTTTTTAAAAGGGTTCATATTTTTTTTTCAAAATTTTCAAAATTTCAAATTTTTGAAAAGTTTCAAGAAGAAATCTTCAATTGCACATTATTGCGCATTAGATTTGTAAGATCTTTGACCACATTTATTTTGTGTCAGAAACCTATATTATGTCAAAAATTTGATCACAATCCAAATTCAGATAGTATCAAGCTTGAATATTGTGTCCAAATTTGCCCCAACTGTTCAGGGTTCGACCACTGCGGTTGTATCAGGCTGCACTCAGCAAAGCATTTTATATGATTTATCTTACAATTTCACTGTACAAAAACAACCATCCATATTTGAGATCTGAAGTGCCTATCTTTCCTGGGTTCCATGTATGTTTTTATAGAACAGCTATAATCATTGACAAGATAAACAAAAACAAAATGATAGTTTGAATTTGTTTACTTACCCGTAAAATGCTCTATAAAAAGAAAACTGACATGGTGGTTAATTCCACAGAAAATTTACAATTCAGTTACAGCTATATTGCATTCAATAATCATTTGTAATTAATAAGTATTTAAAATTTCAGGACTTTAGTGGCTGTTGCTGAGAAGTTCTTTTCCAATCATTATTTTGACCAGAATCTCATTGGTGCTCAGGCAGACCAACATGTGCTCAAAGATCTACTGGCTCACAGACTACCACAACTTTATAGACATCTAGAGGCAATTGATATAGAACTGTCAACTGTCACACTAAACTGGTTCCTTGCCATATTCTTTGATGCTGTTCCTTTTATGGTAAGAAATTGATTTTATGGTTACAGAAACATATGAACAGTGAGTTCATTGAGCATGGGCATTACTTAGAGATGTAGAATGTTGCATTTCTGGCTTGAAACTTATAGTTTAGTGTCAGTAATCAGGACGGAAAGGATGAGGGGTAGTAATTACACTAGAATGAATACAGACATTATATGGAAATGTTATTGTATTTGACCTTTACAAATATATCTATAAGACAGCAGCATAGATTTAAGGCTTAATTCTACGTACAATTTACAGGTTCAATAACTATTTTGTAGACAGTCTTTGAAGGAAAATCCCTGTTTTATTTACCCTCATATATATCATTCTTGATAAATGTCCCTGATATTTTTTCAACTCTCCCCGTCCACCCCCTAATCACCCCCCCAAAAAATAGAAAGAGAAAAAACTTGTTATCAGTGTTCCCCTATTTATCAAACAATAGTCATTTATTTAGTTGAATGAAAATAATTCAGTAATATTTCATACTATTGTTTAATTAGAAAGTTTCATATTATGTCATTATAAATATATTTCCTAAAAATAAAAAAAGATATCCTTTCAAATCACAAATCATGGTTTAAATTAAATAGATCATTAACTTCTATTATTCATTAGGAATAATTTAAATACTGGTTCTTCAACTAATGGAATTACTTTTTGGAGATCCTTCAGTGTTTACAGAAAAATCATTTTAATGAAAAGTGCTCATGTACTTTCCTTTTAAACTGGAATACAATTTCGGATTCAGAATCCAATGCATTCTGTGTAATATTGTCAAAAACCTAAGCCAAAACATCAGTAATGGTTAATAACATGGAGAAATAAACAATGTATATCCAACTTAATGGGCGGCCTCAGTGGCCAAGTGGTCTAAGTAGTCCTACTACTGTAATCACTAGCCAGTCAACACTGAGGTTATGAGTTCGAACCCCGCCCGTGCGGGTGCACTCGACTCCAATCTTAATTGACTAGGATTGTCAGTTTTCCTATCGAAGGTCAGTGGTTTTCTCTGGGCACTCCGGCTTCCTCCAGCAATAAAAACTGGCCGCCACGAAATAGCTTAAATGTGGCGCTTAAAAGTGGCGTTAAAACACCAACAATCAATCAATCAATCCAACTTAATGCATAATTTTGTGTTTATTAAAGATGAAATTACCATTAATCAATTTTTTAAAGCAGATAGATATACACTCATAAAAAATTTCAGCATACAGGTGTAATACCACCAAATCATAGTACGTCACATCCGGTTGCATACGAAAATAGGTCGAAAAAAAATATTCCCTTGAATTTGACAGTTGTAGGTAATTGATCCTACATTTCATTGCAGTAAAACATTTCTGAGTCATAAACATATACCTTGGGTATTTCAAAGCACCATCATTTCTTTATTTGGAGTTTCTATAGAATATTTTGGAAACTTGAGGTTACATGGTTACTAAAGCTTGTACACAGGTTAAAAAAGGGGGAAAATTTGATTGGTTAACTTCCAGTGATGGTTATTTTCTTATATGCAATGAAATGTTATGTGAAATTTTTTCTATAGTACTGGACAGGATAAATCTTTACTCATGCCAAGTATTTCTTTATTTGAAACAAAGATAAATTCTGCACAATTTTTTGAAAAGTGCAAATTTAACAAAGACTAATAGGGGAAAATCAATGGTGGTATTGCACCTACAGCTTTCATTTGTCTTGTGGCAATGTCTTCATGTTTGCCAACATTATTTTGTTACCATCAAAAACAAAATATACTTTTTTTGATGAAAAATCATATTTGTAAACTATTTCTGACAGTTTAAGTCTTATATTGTCAAAGTGGGAAAACCAACCAAGATGGCCGCCATGGCTAATAGAACATAGGGGTAAAATGTAGATTTTGGCTTATATCTCTGAAACCAAAGCATTTAGAGTAAATCTGACAGGGTAAAACTGATTATCAGGTCAAGATCTATCTGCCCTGAAATTTTCAGACAAATCTGACATCCTGTTATTGGGTTGCTACCCCTGAATTGATAATTTTAAGGAAATTTTGCAGTTTTTGGTTATTATCTTGAATATTATTATAGATAGAGATAAACTGTAAACAGCAATAATGTTCAGCAAAGTAAGATCTACAAATAAGTTGGCCATGGCTAATAGAACATAGGGGTAAAATGTAGATTTTGGCTTATATCTCTGAAACTTAAGCATTTAGAGCAAATCTGACAGGTGGCAAAAATGTTCATCAGATTTAGATTTATCTGCCCTGAAATTTTCAGACGAATCCAACAACCCGTTGTTGGGTTGCTGCCCCTGAGTTAGTAATTTTACAAAATTTTTTGCAGTTTTTTGTTATTATCTTAGATATCATTATAATATCTAATATCTAATACTATTAATTATGATTTTAACCTTATTTTACATGATTTCCAAAGCATCAGTAAATACAGGTGAGCGACACAGGCTCTTGAGAGCCTCTAGTTTCATTGTTAAACCAGCAATTTTCAGCCAAGTTCAATAGTAGCAGAATATGATATACCCCTATTAGAAAAGGTCAATGTGTCAGTAAATTTAATTAGGATATATATGGCATGTTATTAGGGAAAAATGTTAATCAATTTGAAATAAGAAAAGTCTTATATTTAGAGGACATTGTAATTACTTTTGACGATAACCTAATTTGCTATTAACTTTCTATATTGAGTCTGAGATAAAATTATTTATGTCTAATTACTTTGATAATATTTGTAACATTGACCGAAGAAATTTGTACACATTACATTGTTTCTGGAAAAGTCATTCATCCAAATGGAAAAGTTGTATTGAAAAATGTGGAAGTAGGATAGATGTGATAGATGAATAGGTCTCATATCCAAACTTATAATGGGATAAGAATACTAAAATAAAAGTTATCCACTCTTTATTCATTATTCAACTTGTAAGATATTTCTATTGAGACATATATGTCCTCTTTTATAGGAAAAAAGAGCTGTGAAAGTTACTGGGGTAATGGTCATGTGATGTTTTCTTCAACACAGGGCATCTGTTTTTGAACACTCAAATTGCTGAACTATACAGATTATTTTGGGATTATCTTTCTTAGGAATTTGTAAGATTTTGTCACCTTTGTTGGTTGGCTTGCATAAAGAAAATGGTTGCAGCAGGAAAAAAAACATTCTGGTTGGCCTCAATTTCTAAGATCTTTTTTTTAGAAGTGCTCAAACATCTGATGTGGTTTAATGTGGAAGTCTGCTGGAAATTTTTGGAAACATCTTCTGGAGATATACACAGATAGTTTGCCACATGTGGAGCAGGATCTGCTTATCTCTCTGAAGCACCTGAGATCACCCCCGGTTTTTGGTGGGATTTGTGCTGCTTAGTCTTTAGTTTTCTTTGTTGTGTTGTGTGTACTGGTGTTTGTCTTTTGGTCATTTTTCGTTTTTTGTCATGGCGTTGGTAGTTTGTTTTCAACTTATGTGTTTGAATGTCCCTTTGGTATCTTTTGCCTCTCTTTAGATCAAACAACCACCATAGCGACAAAGATAAAATTTCGTTTGCTTTGCATTCTATGAGATAGATGTAGGAAAATATTCTTTTGAAGGATCCTTGAACCATTTAGGACCAAACTTGACACCATGGTTATCAGGGAAAGTATCACAGGTTACCATAGTTATCAGTGAAAGTATCACACATTCCATGATGAACTTTTGTGCAACTTATCATTTTTGCTTGATTGATTGGTATGTGTATGTGTATAGTTAATTCAATGTGGTTTCCCTGACAAATAAAATCTTCTGTCATGAAACCATCAACAAAAAATCCAGGTATTAAATGGAGCCCTATTCTGATAATTTGGTTTGAATGAAACTCTATTTTTTTTTTATAAAAATACATTTAATACAAATTAACCAAGGCCACCTCAGGGTATACAGAAGCAACGTTAAATCACATTTTTCATTGCATTTTGAAAACTAGACAAAGGTTGCTCTGAAGTCTGACAGGTTCATTTTTTGGTTCATTGGAAAAGTCCTAAAAAGACCATCAGACAACAGACTCACCTATGTCTGATTTTTAAAAAGCAACTTTTAAAAAACTACAATCAAATTACATCAAAGGTTCGGTTTGATTTTCATGGAAGTATATTTTAACTGAATCCATTTATCTTCATTAAAATCATACCAAACCATTCCTAGACGAAATCGGCCATTTAGGTTGCTATAGTGACAGTGTTTATACCACCACCCAGCTGTATAAAACATTGCACAATGAGTACTGCTGCCATCATTGTCACGGTCATATGTACTAAAACCCATTTCATTGGAATAACTCAGACTGTCTGTATTGTTTCCATGGAAACCACTTATTGAAATTTTATAGTTTTCCTGTTCAGGAGCAATAGAAAATTGATCATAAAGAACAGTCCACTGTACATTGTTTTTATCGATCATTTCTATTTTTAACGTTGAATTTGAGGTAGTTAGCATATGAATGAGATCATTTCCCAGCCAAAATTCACTATCAGCGGTACCAAACCCAAACTTGTAATCCTGCCATCGTCTATTGAAGTCGACTGTCCCATCCATTCTCCTTTGTATTAATGTCCAGCCAGTATCCCCATCTTCAAGGTCGCAGTAAACTTGAATAGATAAGTTTGTATTGACTGGATTAATTATATAGACACCAGAATCTTTATATCCTCTTCTGTGGTAACCATAGCAATCTATAAAACAAAGACTATTATAGAATAATTGTATTTGAGTAGAACATAGATATAACACATTGCTTGCTGGTTTTTCTTAGTTCAATCTTACAGTGGTTTAAATCACAAACATTGGCTCTGTTTCAAAGCTTTCTCTGAAAAATGTATTTACCTTTCATTAAGCATATGAAGTGTTATTTCTTCCAATCGTTGTGAAAAAATTATTTATATTATTCTGAAAGGGAAATAATGTAGCAGTATTATAATATGAAAGTTTTGGTAATGAAACAATTTTGTCAATGACCGCAAA